AGCAGCGCGTAAGGCCTCGCGCAAGGAAAGTGATACGACATAGGGAGTGACTGCAGGTTTTTAGAGTGGCTCATCTGAAAAAGGCTTCCGATGTCTTCAGACAGGCAATGATCATGTTGTGAAATTCCCAAGGTGAGACCCGTGCCATGCGGCTCGTCAATCATGTCATGCCATGTCCATTCCATTGTAGTGGCAGGCGCATATTTGTAGAGTCGGCAAAGACTGCCGTCCTCACCACACAGATCACGAACGTGCAGAGTTGTTGCCAGAACCGCTAAAGTGATAGCAGTAACACTGACAGCATATCGTTTCTGAAATCTGGCCCCAATCACATCGACCAAGTATGTTCTAACACCCAGGCGTACAGCCGACAGGGTGACAGCCACAAGGTCCACATGAGGTTCCCGTCGCAAAACCATCGGTGGAAGTGCCGGAAAGACAGGTGCAACCATCAATGCTTCCCTATCAACCTTGTCAGCCCACAAACGAAGGAAATCCTTTGAAAAGGAGCGCGTCAGTTGACAAACACAAATGCGATATTGGGAACTGATTCCAGATGCAGTTGGACCCGCATACCAGGTGTGTGCAGCAATCATGTGGTAGACGAACTGGTAATATTCTGTAATGTATTGTTTCAACACGTCATCTTCGCTTTCTCCGACACAAATGCCTCTTGTCAGTGAGTACTCTTCCAATCGACACACTCCGGACTTCTCAGAGTGCTGCTGCTGGGAAGTCTGCATGAAAGAGCTGACATCACTCGAGGGCCACAGGTGAGATGAAGACTGGCAGACTTGCTGTTTTGGTTGTGCTCGAATCTCCACGAAAGCCCCATTCGGAACAAAGACAGCATCATCACCTTCAAAAGAGACCGTACGCTCCTCTGCTTTCCAATGTAGCCTCAATTTCTGAGATGCATCAAAGAAGTGGAGTGCTCTGCTCTTGGAGATAATGGCGACAATATCAGAGACTGTGGCTCCTGTTGGGACAGTGACTGCACATCGAGCAAAAGAGTTAGGCTCATATATATCCACCAAAATCGTCATCATGTCAGACTCCGGCGAGTCAATGAGAGCCAAAACATGCACATGAGTGTGTGCATCTCGCAGCCTTGGAGGTCGGGGCAGCGGGGCAGCACCAACAAAAAGGCCGGCTCAGCGTTTTGAGGAAAGCCACAAGAGCGCTTGACCAAACCAGTCCAATCCTCCGTAAAGGAGCTGATCCAGAGCCTTGTCTCATACCACTGTACCATAGCTCGATCAACCTGCAGCATCCAGAAGGAGACTTTTGCTCCTTGGGTGAAGCGAATCTGGAGAAGCACTTCTGCTCCAGTCAGCAATCTATATACTGAGTCTTCCGCCATTCTGGTCATCAGAGATTCGCGATGTGTCAGATACAAGCTCTGCTGCATCAAAGAAACCTCTGCAACCTGTTCACCCAGACTCCTGAAAAGTTGATCCAGTTCACAAGCTTCGAATGGCAGATCTGATGGGATGATCTGTCGACCTCTATGCCGTGCCACAAGTTGAACATAGGCCCCATCAGGAAGTTCAGGTGTCTCCAATGCGGAGAAGGTGTACACATGCTCCCCATCGTTCCAGATGATCATGAAATCAGACAGGACTTGATGGTGCGGCTGCAAAGGTGGGCCAATTAGCAAGTACACCCATTCAGCAACAGTCGCTAGTATAGGATATCGCAAGGCCGTTCTTCTCATCACATTGCGATATGTAAAGTCGACCAAAGCAGCTTGATAACCATGTTGGCGATCTTCCGCATTAGTTCCAATCAGATTGTGTCGACTCGGGAATTCCCCTGGCAAAATCAGTGGTCTCCGTATAACATGGTAACACACCGAATCAGGTTGATCATTCCAAATTGCAAGAATCTTGTGCTGCCAATTAGGCTCTTCCATCCGAAGGTCAACGTCCACTTGCATCGGAGAGGTCCCTGCCGCAACGCCAGGAAGGAGCCAAAAGGTGGATCTGCCTGCTAGATTTGGAATTTGTCCAGAGATTTGTGCAGCTGAATTGCTTCTAGCAATTGAGGCATACACTAGATCGTCCCAAAGTCGGGCGTGGTGGTGAAGGAAAGAAGGAGTTGTCCCTGACGTTTGCATCAAAGACCCATCATCTAACTCTTCCACTTCACATTGGGCAGTGTCAGGCACACCTCCCATCTGCATTGATTCCCAAGGGAAAAGGACAGCCTGTTCGAAATACCAGGATACACTCCTATGCAAATCATCAGACCGTCTGGAATCATATTCAGGGAAGTCAGCCGCAAAAGAGTTTGCTTTATGGGAGGCATGTGGAGGATGTTGGGCGACAGCCGTGACATGTTGTCCCATAATGCAGAAAAGGAAAAGCGTCACACGGATTCGCGGTGGATCTTGGCAATATCTATGAACTCTATGCACACGTCCACAAATTCGCCGCTCACACCAAAATGATGATCTTCCTTTGAAACACGCGATCATCATGAAAAGCAAAACTGCTTCAAGGCAAACCAATAAGGCATGTCCAGTCGCAAAAAGGGCCCAAGACACAAGAATGCCAGCACATTGAAGAAGATCACTCCAGCATTCTGCCATGTCGTAGCCAAAGTACTCATAGATGGCTTTTGCTCCATACCAACGCAGTCCCGAAAGCACTGGCCACAGACCAAAGTCCAAAGATTTAAACACTGATCCCCCCCACTTTAAACAGGGGTATCTCATAATCCCAAGCCAAGCATCAAGCGACAGCACAGATCCTAGTCGATCTGATCGATGCCATTCTTCAAATGGGCATTCATATTGGCAGGCTGTCCGCCCATCGCTGTCGCTGCCGACTTCCCGCCCCGGTCTCCATATGGAGAAGTCCTGGAACGTGATCTCTGCCGCATTGGCATCGCCCCAAATGGCTGTAGGGCTGATCTGCGGGGCAAATTGATTGACTTCTGATGCTCTTCTTGACTCTTCAAATCTTCCAAAAGCTCCTTCATACGATCTTGATGCCCTTGGTATCGCTTCATGTCCTCCACAATCGCCTCCTTGAACATCTCCAGCACACTCTGTGAAGCCGACTGCAGCTGTTGCTTGAGGTCTTGCTCGAAGTGAAGGACTTTGTCCAACTCCAAGATCATTGTCTCGCCATTGCCGGCTTCTGGCTGCCCTGGCTCCGACTCTTTCACCTCTTCGGAGAACCTCTCGCTCAATCCACTGGTGCGATGAGGCATTTGAGGTGACATCGCCATAGTCTGGAAGTGCTTGGCAATCCCATTTTGGATCTCCGCCGACAAATGCTCCATAAGCGCTCCATTGAGGATATGTGCCATGCCATCCATCACCTTGGGAGGGACTTGTGTAGGCTCTTCCGGGCCAAAGAGATCGTCCTCCATGTCTGACAGCTGATCCTTCATGCCGGCATCGGCAACATCTTGAAAAGTCCCTTCGTCCAACTTCTTCTGTTCGGCATTTCTTTCCAGCTGCAGCTTGTCGATCTCTTCCTGGAGGCCCTTGACATCCTTCTCGTAGCGCTCGAACTCGGCTGCATAGAAGGCCTTGAGTGTCTGCTTCCATGTAATCCACGACGCCTTCTTGTTCTCGAGATGATCTGTTTTCTTTTGCAGTTTGGTATCGAGCTTCTTCACCAAATTCAACTGCTTCTGCATCGCCTGCCTCGATCCAGTCACCACCTTCGGCTTGACCAATTCTGTGAGCTCCTTGGGTAGTTTGCCCGGATTCTGCTGCATGTAGGTCTTCAAGATGGCTTTGAGATCTCCATCCGAAGCTGAGCTGGCCAATGAGACAGGCGTAAAAGTAGGGAAGGCATCCAAGTCGACCTTTGCTCCATCGTAGGTTGGAAAACCTTCTGACTTGTTTGTCGGCTTTTCCACCGGCTTCGACTTGGCATTCTGCCAATTCCCTTTCCACGAATTCTGTGTCTTCTGAGACCATCGTCCTTGTTGGTTCCATGACATATCCTCCAGCTCACGATACCTAGGCACAGAGTGGTGAGTAGCCAAAAGACGCAGGGCCTTGTTCAGGCGATCACGCAGCACCAACGAAAGTGTCCAGGAGGAACGAACTCGAAGACGATGGATGAGTTTCCTGGCCTTAGACCTACGTGTACGCTCACGGCGGTGCCACGCAGGAGAGCACGGAATGGCGCAGGAAAAAAACCCGTCGAGGTATAGTAACCTCTGGGGTCAAAAGTATTCCTAGCTAAGCTAGGCGATCCTTTGAGCCCTTGGCGTGAGAGTGGTTTTGAAATCGAGAAGTCCAGACTAGGATCAACTCCAGTTCAACTATCAAGGTGCAAGCAACGCTTCAAGCTGAACAGGGGTACTGCTAGCCCATAATTGATGGAATCGCGTAGTGGCACCAAGACACCAGAGATGCTGCAAGGTCGATGCGATGTCGTTTGATGTCTGGGTCCAGGATGAATTTTCTACTAAATATACACCGTTTGCACCGACAGTGACTCAACAAAAAGTGATGTTGCCACCTGTCAAGGCCCTAAGCTGCGGTAGCAAACCCAGTATGCCAAAATATGCCAAAATCTAACCGTAAAATTAGCCACATGAAGGCTGCTATCAGCTACTGTATCAATATAAATATATATTTATATATTATATATATGAAGGGTTTGTTGGTGAAATCCAGGTTGAGCCGCGTAGACGCCACGCAGAGCCAATTTAAAGATGACATGTTACATCATAGGCTCACAATGGTCCTTTAATGTCCTTTAGGGCCAGGAGTTAGCGTGCATTTGACACCCTGGTTCACACCTTCTCCGAATCACATCAAGTGCTGCAAACAACAAATTGTGCAAGGCCTCGTCTTGACCAACAAAGCTTCAGTTGTGTTCTTTTTGTACTCTCATGTGCTCAAGCTGTGAGAGTCTATATGAGTCTATTTATGATGCTGAAGCGGACAAACGTGTACACCTTAGCCTGCACATAAGACGGAGATCTTGAGCTTGTCAGGCTGTGCTTTGAGATCAATTGTGACTCAGGTGTCGTTTTGCTATGGGCTCAGACTGAGCCGATAGCATAATTTGCTGCTGAACGAATGCCATGAAATGGCAAATGATTGCTTTTCAATGAATGGGAGCGCTTCCATTTCTGTTTTCCTGGGGCCTCCAGCTTCTCTTGAGAAGTCATGTCCATTGATGGAAGTCTGGGCATGTGTTCATGTTCATTCCCACACTGCCTGGCTGTCTAGGTGGAATTCTTTAAGTGTTAAGGGACCCGAAGGGATCCAAAGGGACCAGACAGGTCACCAAGGCGACGGCCCTTGGGCACTTGCCATTCGGCTTGGTCTGCGGACGCATAGACCGATGCGATGCAGCAGAATTGAAGCGGAGCACGGCTGAGCAATGACCCTGCAGTCTAGCAGAGCGTTTCGCCAAATTTTTGCAGCTAACATTTGAGTCCTCATGGTGCAATCATATTTGTTCAAATCTTCTTGAGAAGTTTTCGCAAGGCGCCAAAATCGTAGCAATCATTGTTAATAGTTGTTTGATGTTGTTTGTGATGTTCAACACTGGTGGACAAGACTGAAATGCACTCCAGGACATGAAAGAGATGCTCCTTGAGACTTTGAGTGGCTTTGGCCGATTGTTGGAGATATTGACATAGTTTGTTGTAATTGAAACGCAACATCTTGTGATAGAAAGAGGAACGAAGTCCAAGCCGTCCCAGCAGAGTTCTCGTCGTTCTCGTAGATTTGCGACAGAAGTTTGGTGCCTGAATTCACTGCCAATTCGTTTGGTTTGAGCTTGAGTATTGATGACACACCTATCTACCCATCTCACAGACACACGCTCGTTAGACCCGGGATCTACCTCCTAGGTCAACGTTTTGGACATGGAGAACAAGTTCACATCCTGGAGCCTCGGATCCGACCGACCGAGCCGTAGGTCGACCATGCCGAAGAAAGATCATTGAAACTGGAGCGTTCTTGCTCCGTTCGTAGCGATGCCCGAAATGCTCCTAGTAGCTTCTTGCTCCTAGTAGTACGGCCAGGAGCCCCTACTAGCGTTCTTGCTCCTAGTAGCGATTTGCCTCAAGGGAGAGGTTGGAAGTCATGGTTGGACACTTGGACAACCGTCGTGTTAGCTCTCACGAGCCAGGAGCTTTGCAGTGGTGTTGGAGTGATAGGCTTGAGTTTGGCCCACGCAGCAGCGAATTCCAAGGTGGGATGCCAGAGACTTGAGTTGTCAAAGGCTTCTGTGAAACTTCTAGATCCCTTGGTGTCTCTTCCTATGTTTTCTATTGGTGTTTCACGATGTTTTCTTTTGGGACTCTCAACAGGATTGCTCAGGGTCCCGGTGCTGGACATGTCGGGACCTGCAGGAGGTCGGGAACGTCACCCTCGTGAGCACCGACGTGAACCCAAATTGTGCCATGTTGCGGAAGAAAGGTGGCAGATGGCAGAGAACCGCTCGCAGTTCTTTTGGGTGCTCAGCTGTTTGATGCTGTTTGATTTAAACCATGACAGGAAGGTGTACAATGTGACAGGATTTGCATTTTTTTGCTACGAGCCTGATGCAACTGGTATGTGGTGGAAAGGCCGCAAAGTAATTTGACTTTCCTAATCTAAGAGCAAGCCCTGAAGAGAGCGCAGGACAGCAAGACCGCACTCAATAAGTTAAGTAGTTTAGAAGCGGGCCAAAACACGTCAAATCGATTGAAAAACGGATTCCTTCAGGTGCTGGCGCGATTTTCAGGAACTGTTTTGCACTGCTTGATCTTGGAGGAACAGACCGTTTGGAAGAACGGCAATGATTTGCTAACTTTGATGTCTTTTTATTGTTCAAACTTTTTCAGTTCTGAAGTATGTGATGAACACGGTCATTTGGCTTGAGCAGCAAGCCTTTTTGAACCTGTCGGGGTTTAGGCTGGCGCTCAAGGCGCTTAGTCGCCGCACATGCTGGGGTTTTGACAGAAAAGAGGTCATTAGAAGCTGCAAAAGCAGCAATTGTAGGCCGTCTCGTGCTCAATGATAGCGTAATAAGACAATGGGAGTCAATAGGACCTGACGCTTTGACTCTTTGTTCCAACAGATTGTTTTGACATATTGTGGAAGTTCACTGATTGAAGTAGTAGACATGTTTGGAAGACTAGCTGAGACAGCTGAGATATATAATTGAGAGTTTGGGTACTCTCGGTGTTTTGCTTGAGGAGACCACCATAGCATGATGAAGGCAACCCAGTTGGTATACCGGTATACCGTATACCCAACTCAGCACAGCAGCATCAGAGGGCATAATTTCAAGACTCAAGATACATTGTTACTTGTGCTGCTGCCTAGGTGCTGAACTGTTCAAGGAGAATGCCAGTCGAATTTTCCCTGAGGCATTCCTGCGGGCTGCAGTCAATGGCAGTGGGGTAAGTGTTGGTCAATGTGAGAAATAAGTTGATACTGGTTCTGAGCGCTTGCGCTACACAGTATTCGTTATGTCACCGCTTTGGCGCCGGTTGCCAGGGTTCTTGCTGTTTTTCTCATAACGCGGAATACCAATGTCAAACCAAGAACGAATGCAGTTTCTTTTTGGTTGGAGGCCACCGCTATTAGGTTGGAGGCCATCACTCCAAGTTTCTTTGTGCATTGGCTCGTTTGGCGCCTCTCTTGGGCCGATCTTGGGAGGATGGTCCGACCTCCGCAGATGTGAAATTCTCAGCATGCTCAGCATCGGAGGAGAGATGGTGTTTGCACGTTGCGATGCCTGCGTCAATTGCGCAAAAGCTCTCCAGTTCTAAGCATGACACTAGGAACAACTATAGGAACTATTTTCAAACAGGTCAATGTTGCAATGAAGTTCTGAGATGTTTGCTGCACGCGCGTTTGATTTCTTTGCCAGGCACTGTCGTCCATGCCCGACGGAGCAAATGCTACCCGCCCTTCAACCTGAGCGCATTGGTCAGGGAAGTGGCGTTTGCCTGTGGAGTGCTGCGTATCAAGCAACCATGGACCATAGTTGCGCTTTCGAAAGCGACAAGATTCTGCGACTGCACACTTAAAGTATCTGAAAGTACTTGAATGACACCAATGCACACTAGCCGCAATATAGCTGTTGCTGCCAGAGCGGATTCTACCCTTGACTTCAAGATTGTTTCCCACCTGCCAGGTGAGGGTCTCTACAACAAAGGTGCTACTCCGCCATCGTACTCCGTCCTTTGGCCTCTCTGCTCCTCCTGCCATGTCATAATGTCACAGTGCCAGCACACCATAGAGATCATAGAGAGAACACGCGCAGCATTATGTGGTGAGTTCCGTACGCACCAGACTGGTGCTTCCTCTGTAAGATTTAACAGAAGCCATCTATACAAGTCTGGCTCCCGAATGGTCAGGTCTGCAAACAAGGTGGGGTCCTTTGCAGCCTCTAGGATCCTGTTGTAACAACAACTCAGCTTCCAACCTGGTGATGAAATCCCTCAGTGATCCGAGCTTCGAAGAAACACGGAAGTTGAGAGCACACTCACAGAAAAAGAGTGCCTCTGCTCTAGTTGCTAGCCCACACTCTTCTTTAAGCAGACGTAGCACCTCAAAACCATTCGTATTTGCCTTGCTAAGATCGTAGATACGAAACAGGGACATGGCTTTCGGAAAACTCGCTAAACTCTGCCGAAGAACAAAGTACAAGCGCTGTGCTCTTTCCTTCTTGTCACTACTGTACTTGGACCAATCACAAGGGGTGGTCTGCCGAAGAACCTCTTTCACAGCTAAACAGGGGCCATCGTTGACAACCAAGATGTCAGAGAATCTACCCAAGTACAGAATCCCATAATCATCGTAGGTCTATCCACCCACTTACTGTGATCACAAGCAGGCATGGAGGCTGGCTCTCTCTCTGGTGCGCGGGCTCGCGCGGCTGCCAGACTAGGCCTGCACACCATCGAGTCAGTCGGGGCACGCACAGGCCTGCGCAGCATTGAACTAGGCCTGCCCACCATAAACAGAGCTCCAGCCCAGTGTGGGCAGGGATAAATTTCACGCCGTCGAGAATGTCAGAAGACTAGAAATGCCAAGACAGACCGGTTTTGGGGCTGGCGGATTCATCTACCATTCGCTATGGGGGGCCATTTTTGGATAGGAAATGCTGTGTTTTGCATTGCTTTCTGAAAATTGATCAAAGTTGAGACCAAACGAAACGTTCGCGATGCTGGTCGCGCCAGCCGGTGGAGATCGCATTATTGACATCGCGAACACATGTACAAACTGTGGACACTGCATTATTGACATCGTGGGTGTGTTCGGCCGTGTGTCCTGCCCAAGACACAGACTGACAGACCGACCGAGACAGAGACAGGCCGAGACAGACCATTGACATCGCGCGTCCTGCCCGACCGAGACAGACCGACAGATTGACAGACCGAGACAGACGCACCGACAGAACCCTCTGTGAAAAGGCTGGTGATTAGATAGGGCCATAGCGAAACGCTTCTTCACGCTTGAGCCGGTTAGCATGTCCTCCCGGCTTCAAGAGCACAATGTTTGCCGAGCTGGTAGGGTGCTAATTACACACTTTGCCCATCCATGTTTGGATGTATGTTTGCGTGTATAGTGCGTGTATGCATGGATGGATGTTTGTCCTTTTTCTCTGCGCGGGCGGCTTCGACCGCGAAGCGGTGTGAATAGATTGCAACGTCAAGATGCGTTAAGGGGAGAGGGACTTTGGACATAAATGTTTTATTGGCGTCAGAAAGCAACGTTCGGCAGCGACGGGCATTTTCCCAAGGCACGCTCAAAGGCTGTTGAAGTGAACTTGAGACCGGCATCAAGACATACGCGTCAGAAAGCAACGTTTGGGAGTGAGCGAGTCTCCGGGAGAAGATTTTCCGCATGGAAATATTGGTTAAGGCTGTGGTGAAGGGGAACGCCCTGACGCCAGTAGAAAGTCTATGTCCAAGCCCGTTCACAAGCTTGTTTGCCGGCCAGAAACCGGTCCAAGTCCGCTTCAATCCCCTTTCGCCACACCCTCAACCAACCTATGTATTTTCGCGGAGGAAATTGCAAAACGCTGCATTCTTACGAAAATAAAAAGTCTATGTGCCTTGCAATAGAGAGAGTGCACATGTCAGGCCACGTTTTTCCGGATTGTGTGTCAACACGTAGGAGTTGATCTAAAAGCCTGTGTAAGGAGTTTCTGTATTAACAGCCTTTCAGATGTTGTTAAAACCATCCGCGAAAGATTCGCAATGAGGTTCGCGCAAGCAGCTTTTTTCCGCGACAGATTTATCGAAGGTCATCGCTTTCATATGCTTTCCTTTCTACCAACTGACAAAGAATAGAAATACAAGGCAATCCTCCGGCAGAGCCGATGGTGGAAGTGTCCCCGCATGTCCCTTTGTCACAGACTGACGAACTGACTAGCAACCTGAGCAGGCGCAGCCCTGACAGTGAGGCGTCGACCTGCAGCTGCTCTGACGCGCAGATGTTTGCAAATGTCACGGCTCCCCGGGGAAAGCGACAGTGAAATTTCGATAAATTTCGCGAAAGATCCGCGAACATTTCGGGAATGCGCCGCTAAAGTCCAGGTTCCCAGCTTGCCCCCAACATTCTCCAAGCTGCATCACCCTGTGTTGGTAACTGGCACCAGGATTGGGTTGAGTTGCGCCTGATTCTATTTGGCACAGATGCTGCGAGTGAGCCTGAGTAGCTGTGGAAACTTTCAACCTTCTGCTGGGGTCATGCTGCAAGATGTCTGTCCCTATTTTGTGATACTATGACATGTTCGGGCTCATGTTAGCTAGGACCATGCTTCGCGATGAGGCCGCGAAAGATGTTTGTTTCCGCGAAGAGTGGCCATTCCAGGATGAAAGAATATTGATGAATCAACCACAACATGTGCCCTTCCTTCTTCCAAATTGCCTCGCAGGGTGGAGATCACTCGAAGTAAAGTCATTTGTTCTTATTGTGTCCACAGTGAAGGAGCACGAGTAGAGAGTCAGTTGGTGGTTAACATGATCAACCCACAGGAATAGTTGGCTTTTGTGCATTTAATGCATGCCCCCGTATGTTAGGGCATTCAACACGCATTTACATTAATCATTAATACGGGTCGTACTTATACCTGCACATGCGTTGACAATTTTCCTTGATTTTCGAGTGCATACGACACCGATACTGTAGAGTCTACTGGTTAATATGTACGCGCACCCATCCAGAGGACTGATCGACTGTTCGGACATAAACTTGTGGTCTCCCATGTGTGTTGAATTGTGTTGAGGTTCTGGTGCTGGACCCACCACGCCGAGGCCTTGCTGAAAGGCAGTTGCGTCAAAGACTGGTGGGTGGTGAGGACCGTCAAAGATTGCTTTCAGTGTGAAAAAATGTTGGAAAAAAAAACAACCATGTAAGACAAAAATATCACTAAAGTTCCCCAACATGTTAAGGCATTTATGGATGCATGCGGGTGGGGGGTTCGCAACTTTATTGCCCTATATTCTATACTTCTCAACTTGCTGAAGGAGCAAGCAGCAGCTATTTGTAATTCCAAAGTGCAAGTAGTTGCTTGTCATACATGGTGGAAGCGGGGGACAGGGATTGTTGCGTTGGGGGTAGACTGTCACTGGATTTCAAACAATACAGCACACGTTCAACATATTTGTTATCTCATGTTATCTCCACAGTCAGTCCACATGTTTCAGTTTTTTGTTGGCATCAAATATGCAAGTGTTAAGACTACTGATAGAGTTGGACCGCAAACAATTAGCGCAAAGGTGCCAAGGTGTATGTGTCAGAGAAAAGGGTGTTGCATTGTTGTGAGTGTTCTGCCGCATTGACAAGGTCATTTACATGAGCTGAGCCTTGGCTTCAGTTATGAAAATACGGCCAAAATGAGGTAATTACCGAGGTATTGTAGCTCAAATTGCTGGGTTGATGTAACAACAGTTTTCTACTTGCACGTCACTAGTTTGTCCAGGGTTGCTTCATGGTGTTTACAAGGACGTTGGCGGTTGAAAAGCTTTTCGTGAACGTCTCTTTTGGGGGAGGGTATTCGATGATTCTCAGATGCTGTTGTGCTGCTTCTTCCTGCGGATAATGCATGTAACTAATCCCGGGCCCTATTTGACCACCGCACCCAGGTGGTCATGAGAGCTTTATGACAGATGCTCAGAGGCTCATGGACAGTGATCTTCCTGGCGGAGCTTTCTCGTTGAAGAAGTTGGGTTCCTTGTCCGATTTGAGTGTTGAACTGCTTTGTGCGATTTGAGCTGCTTTTGGGCGTGTTGGACATCCTGGACTGCGGACTCTCAGGCTGCTACGATATGTTTCCTTATACATCTCACCTCGAGAGCTTGGGCCTTTTCCTTCGTTGCGAAGGCAATCACAAAAGACCACCATCGCTCAGGGTGAAAGAGAAGGCTGGGTGGTGTCATTGTACCTCTGCTTCGGGTATTGAAATCCTAGCACCAAAGAATACGACTGCAGGCTGGAACAGCAAAAGACCTGGAGCCAGCATTCAAGCTGCAGTGTCAGTTCATAATTGGCATTGAGCAGGACTATGGTTTCAATGAGGGCATAGGGATGGAACAGTCCAGGTCTGAAGTGTGATTGCCTGACCAAACACACTTTGTTTTCTCATGAGCCGGAAGTCGTACGCAAGTCAAGGACCCAATTCTTCAGGAAGGCATCAGAGGTTTTAAGCACAACAAATCCAGGACCAAGAATTCAATGTGAAGCAGCGCTTGCTGGGCACACGGGGGCATCATGTGTGACTTGGCAGACGCACGACTTGGGAGCTTGAAGCTATTGGGGTTGAAGAGCTTTGCCTTTAACCAAGCCGAAGGGCTTTGTAGAACAGCTGTTTGATTGTTGGAGATATTTCACAAGCCCAGTCCAATGTCTGTAGGAAGATCATTGCCGCACGCACGGACTGCAAGCTGCGGCTGCGGGGGCGCGGCTCAGGCTTTAAGGACTCTCTCGGAAAGACGTGAGCACATGATCTGCATGGAACCAATTGGGCAAGTTCCTTCCAGCATTCTTTGTAGGGGCTCCTGGCCTTACTACTAGGAGCAAGGACGCTCTTCCTGCATTCCTGCTGAGCAGTTTTTCAGCGAAGCGCCGAGTCGGAAGCTCCGCAGGAAGGGCCGCGTCGGCGTGAGTCGAGCGATCCCATGATGCTTTGCATCAGCAGCAAGGATCAAAGAAAGCATGGAGAAGCAGTGCCTGGGCGGCCTGGGATTGTCTTACAGAGGTTCTTTGCACATTCGGATGATGTTTCTAGTTTGGTCAGAAGACATTCGAGACATAGACCGGTTTTGCCGTGCACTTTTACTTTTGAGGGCACTTGAGCTTGAATGCAGTTGGTGCATAGGTTTCATTATGACCACCAGCCTGCAGCGAAAGTTAAGTGGAAGGTTGGCTATACAGTTATACAACTGCTTACGTGTGCATTGTCCACCTATTGTATAGAAATAATGAAAAATATGATTATCACTTGGGCAAAGGCAACAGCTGCTGCTTTCTAAGGATAGACAGAAATTGTTTCTCAATATGGGAGGTGAGTTTCCTTTGGGGCCCCGTATGGAGGCCACAAGAATTGTTGTGGTATGTTGTGGTTCAGGTAGACCTCGTCAAGGGACTTGTGGAAGATGTCTACAAGCAGCAACTTGGACTGCACCGTGACACCTGTGACACAAGGGGCCATGTAGATTGCCTAAGGTATCGATCCTTCCAAGAGCTTCGAGGGCGAAAGGTAGAGGAGTTAAAGGCTGGGAAAGGGCCTACTAGGAGCAAGGACGCTACTAGAGGCTCCTGGCCTTTCTACTAGGAGCAAGGACGCTACTAGGGGCTCCTGGCATCGTTATTAGGAGCATTCTTCAAATTCGGGCTGAAATGGAGCTCGGTCATAGGCTCGTTGAGAACCCAAGAAATTGGAGAGTTCAGTCAGCAGCATGCTTCATTGTATCGGAGTGTAGGATTCAAGTGAAAACACAAGTGTCCTGACAAATCCTTTAGGTTGGAGGCCATCGCTGAAACGAAAAATCCTTTCAAGCACTGTGAGAGACCACAGTAGATTGCCCAGTCGCGTGCAGGTTCAGATCAATGAAGGACCTCGAGCTGGGAGTAGACGCAGACCTACGAAGTAGATGGAGACTGCAACCTGTTGTGACAGGCCAAGTTCCTTCAGGTCCTTCAGAGTCCAAATCCGCAAGCAATTCTACGACCAATGCGAACATTTGCACCAGTGATGACTTCACCAAGTCCGTGGATGCCCTGGTGTCCTACATTGATCCCGACAATGAGGAGATGAAGATTGTTGTGAACGTGCTGTGGCGAATCCTCGGCCGCAGCACGACCAACTGTGGTTTGGTGGTCGGCACCCTCATCAAGCCAAAGCTTGGATTGCAGCCTTTCGGTGAGGCATTTTACTTCTTCTGGCAGGGTGGTGACTTCATCAAGAATGATGAGCCCCAGGGCAACCAGAGTCTTTGCCAAATGAATGAGTGCATGCTGATTTGGCCAGGCCATGAGGGCATTCTACATGCAACAAGGCAGGAGACGGAAGCTCCAAACTCTTCTCTGCCAACATCACTGCGGATGACCCAAACGTGATGATTGCCTTAGGCAAGCACGTCCTGCCCTGTTCTGTCCTTTTTCTCAGAATTGTGCCTTCCTGGTCAAAGATAAGCTCATGGCCTCATCAAGGACAGGGCAGACAACTGCAAATATGGAAATTCGATCGTAGAGAACCACCCCTTCTAATCTCGTGATGAGCTCAAAGGCCATTGTATTCATCAACAGCTGGTCGCTCAAGAACCATCCGGTCACTGATGCTGCGCGTGCTGTTTGCCCCCAACGGATGAAAACGCGGTGCCTATTTTGCATCGGCGAACGCAGTGCGCAATAGCATGTGCATTCCTGTGCAGTGCATTTTAGGAACAGTTGAGCCTGTTGAGCCGGGAACCATTTGAAGAGAGTAGAGTTTGAAAGACGAGACCTGTCCGAGTGTGTTTTCTGGTCAGATCTGGTCAGTCTCTTCCAGGTCCTAACAGCAAAAGATCTGAGATCCAAGTCGGGACTCAAACGTCGGAGCATTGAGAAGCGAGATTGCTGTGGGATCGGAGGAATTTGTAAAGTTGAAGTCTTCAGAAATCATGGACGTATAGGCGCAACTTGTGCAAGCAGATCTCCAGTGTCATGGGCGCCTCTGCCATCCACATGGACACCATGAGCTTCGGCAAGTCAAGATGGAGGGTCGTGCTGCTGACAAGAACATCGCCTACATGATGAGGCGGAGGGCCCATACTACCGTCACTGGTGGCAGTGACGGCAGACAGGGTTTGTAGATGTTTGTAGAGGGAACAAGTCAATACGTAATTAGGCTGTTTGTTCACAGTGCTGCATTGACACATTTGGCTCCGCTGATTGAACTGAAGAAAAAGGCGCTACAGTGTGCTTGGCGCTCGTTAGTGGAGGAGCTGCCCAGTTGCTTGTGAGATGCTGTTGGCGGAGAACCAGCAGTGTCCAGCTGTACAACCTACTGTAATTGGTGCTGTTCTGAACTCAAGCCAATCCCATCAACGAAGCGCTGCCTTCCTTGTCATGGCTCGCTTGTTTCAGGCCAGCGGCACTTGACTTTGACTGCACAACAGACTGCAATCTTATACAAAATCCCGGATGATGGGCGAACTGTGCACCACTGGATACTCACCCACGGGTGCTTGTCCTATTTTATAGGATGTAACGAAAACCAGAGAGCCCACCAAATGTTTGACTCACACAAGTGCTGCAAGCAGTCAGCTGAACAAACGGAGAATGCATGCATCAATACATCGAAAGTATTGAAGAGTTTTGATGCATGTTGATTCCAATTTGCCAACACCTGGTTTCGAGGCGCTTGTGCTGATATGGTTTGCGCCTATAATAGCAGCTTTGACCACAGAGATGCTTGGTTGGCAAGGATATATTGGGCCAACAGGGCTCAGGGAGGCTGTCAGGTGCAGAGGAAAAAGCGGAGAGGAGTCTATTTGGTAGAGTAATGTCCTCTCCAACCCAAATGGCGCCCAATCTGGAGCAGCAAACTTCTTGACGACCAGATTGCGAGCAGACTGGGAGTGCGTGTCGTCGCCCGTTATCCAACAACGTGTTCTTTCTCCAAGCTATCCAATGCTCCAAGTCATCCAAGGTCCCCATTGATTTGTTGTGTGGAAAGAGCACAGGGGTTCTTCCGTTTCGGGCATCGACCGCCAAGGAACCGTGAAGAGCCAGAAGGGGCAGCTCCAAAGGCCCGTGGACGTACCCGATTCCTCCAGTCATCAGTGTGCTGTGTTGGTCTGTCGCAAGCGAATTGTGAGCATCAGCATGACCTGGCTTTTCAGAACGCTCCTTCCTGACCTGGTTTCATACAGTGTGGTGGTGTTTCTCAACATACCACATGATCCCGATCTTGAGAGTGCAATCCCTCTTATCTGCAGAAAAGCTGTTTGAAGATGTTTGAAGGGAACAAGGAAATCGGTGAGTGCAAGGTGAGCTCCAACAAGATCTCGCCTTTTGGCAGGGACCGCGGAAAGCCTTGGGCATGGGTTTGCTTCTGACAGATCGGAATTTAACAGTGTTTGCGTAGGTCATGGAATTCAATGCAGTCCATAGAGTGTGCCCTTTTTCTGAATTTGTTTGAATCCCGTTGGAATTTCAGGAGAACACCGCTGGTGAGCTTCAGGATAGAGCTTCAAAGACACAGGACCTGCAGCTGTGATGATTGATGCATATTTGGAACACGAGTCTTTGCAGCTCTTTAGATTCTATATGTCCTCAAGATGGTTTCAACATGTATCCGCTATACATATGAATACTACACCCTGAAGGCCATGCTGGATGTGTATGTATAAAGATGTATGAGTCTAAAGGCACACTGTTAAATCTGTGAGGACACCCTTGTGGATGCGGTTGAGAACGCGGAGGCTTAAATGATAAAAACGAAAGATAGAGAGATAGAGAGAGAGAGATAGAAAAAAAAGAAATGAAGGTCATGTTGACAGGAGTCCACTGATTGAAGTTCATTGAAATGGGACTGAAACCATATAAATTGAAACCACCCACTCCACCCCGCCAGCTCACCAAAGTGCTTGGGTGCATTGGAACAATTCGCACTTTCGATCGCCAGGTGGCCGAAATCAAGCGTGCGGTGTTCCGTGCGCTGACTCGGCTGCGGGCGGCAACCATCAAGGCAACTCCACAACTCCATGAACATAGCATAGCCCAGACACGCCACTGCTTGAGCTGTGGCTAGCAGTTACACCGTTACGTGCCGTTGAACAACATGCCACATGGGAAAGTCTGAGATTGGGTTCATCAAGCAAGAATGACAACCGGAATGCTTCAGAAAGGGCAAGACAGCAACAATAAAAGCTGAATCAATCCAGACGAATCTGTCAAGAGGAGGTTTGTCTAGGAGGAACAAGACGGAGCAATTCCAGCAAAGAGTTTGGGTGCCTGCAGGTTTGAGGGTCAAATGAGTTGCATCTTTCAGGAGTTTGACACCATCGCGCGCTTGGAGACATCCTCTATTGATGCCTACAATGACGCTCATCACTATCGTCTCATAGCTGCATGCAATTGCTATCAATTGCTTGACAATATGGAAGAAGTAAAAAAACCCATAAGTTAGACCTGTGCTACCCTATCGAAAGCCTCGGCACCAGCATAAGTCGCTTGAGATGAAGTTAGAGAACTTTGGGGGGTCTAGGAATCAACTCGGATAGAAACCGTGCATTTAGAATCATTTAGATACTTGTATACCATATGCCAGTTGATACTAATTGAAACTTATTCGACAAGACACAGAGGGCTTCCAACAGCACTTCATGAAAACCACTAGATGAGTTCACCCATGTTGACCGTGCAAACCTTGCATGCAGCACCTGCCTTTGTGCCGCCATTGTTCAAGAACACCGTGAGCCATCAAGGTCGCGAGAACCCATTGAGCCATTTGCATGAGGATGAGGCACCGGTGCAAACGGACAAGCTGACGCGATGAGCTCAGACAGAGAGAGAGAGAGAGAGTGAGTGAGTGTTTTGAGAGAGAGTGGGGGAGAGGAAAGAGACATGTTTTATATTGTTTTATTACAAATATGGTTTCTTTAATCTAGCTTTGGAAACTCCACAGTTCAGTGCCACTATCGCTTGCATCATCACCTGGAAGGTCTCGGCATTTTCTCAAGATGAATTGTATGGAGATGTGTAAGTCAGAAAAGCCATTCCTCAAATTGGTGCCGCTCGTGGAATCCTCAATCTCAGGTCATTTCACTGAGCGCGAAGAAATCTTTGCAGCTTCATATAGGGCCTCCATTGAGAGACAACAGATATTTCCAAGCTAGTTTTCAGGCTGTATCAAAATAGAACTTTGTCCCAAATGGGAGACCAGTGGGGTGTGTGTGTGTGTGGCCAGTTGCGGAACAACTTTGCAGGTGGCATTGGAGAAAGCGCTCATGCAGATGAGATATATAGATAGAATTAGATAGACAGAGGAGGAGAATGTAAGGCTTTTGAACCTATCGGAATCTATTTCGGAAGAAGAGCAAGAACCCTGGCAGCTGATATGTAAGTCACACCTAAAAATTGCATGGCATTGCAAGACGGGCATGTGCAAGCGACACTTCATGCGTGCAAGCGGGATCTGTCAGCCAATTCCATCAACGAAGCGTCGCCTTCCTTGGCATGGCTCGGTTGCTTCAGGCCCTTGACGACGTGGCATGGAATGTGTCTAGAGATCGCTAGAGTTGCTTGTTGCATTCTGTCCTGGTAGACAGCTGGCCAGACGTTTTATCATGTTTTGCAAGATTGCAAGACCAAATACGATCCTGGCTGGTATTGTCGAATTGTCGATTGGGATTCCATTCGCATGGCTGAAGCTAGCAGCTAGCATGCGCCATCAAACACTCTCCCAAGGATACTCCTTTACAGTTGATATGCCCTGACCACTGAAACCGCTGACAACCAAATCCATCACACTCACCCAAATGACAATAGAAGTCATAAGATGAACCGAACACAGATGGAGCACGGTGTTGGAAGGTGGAAGCATTGAATCCAAATGTTACATTCGTTTTCCAGGCGCTTGTGCTGGCATGGCTTGCGCCCACAATAGTGGCTTTGACCACAGAGATACTTGGTTAGCAGGGAGTTGATCAATCAGGCTGAGCTGAAGAGAAAAGAGCACAGACAGAAGTGACAGTGAGTTTGTCTCAGCAGAGTGACTTCCCAATTGGAGCGGCAAGGTTCTTGATGAGCAGATTGTGCTTGGATAACTTTTTTGTTTTTCTCCAAGCTATCCAATGCTCAAGGCCACGGTCCCGATTGATTGTTGTGTGGAAAAGACCACATGGACTGCCTAGGAACCACGAAGAGCCAGAGGCGGCAGCTCCAAAGGCCGCCACACAAGCATCGTTTTCGTGCCGTTCATTTTGGACGATCTTGATGGGGTTGGAACAAGGAAACTCTGGGTGCAAGGTGAGCTCCAACAAGATCTCGCCATTTGGCAGGGACCGCGGGAAGACTTGGGGACAGGTTGCTTTGGAATTCAGCTCTATCAAAGATTTTCAGATATGGCCAGGCCAAGCTAGTCGAACATGAAGGGCTTTGGTGTCTCCGGCTTCAAGTTTGTTGTACATTTGACATACCTGTGATCATGTGACATTGTTTGAGATGAATTTACCACAGCTCATGGTTTCTGAATTTGCTTGGCTTCCGTGTGAATTCCAGGAGAACACCGCTGGTGAGCTTCAGGATAGAGCTTCAAAGACACAGGAGATCTGCAGCTGTGATGTTTGATGCATATGAGAAGTTCTTTAGATGTCCTCAACGTGGTTTCTGTCAAATATGGACCCCCCTGCAGCAATGCTACAATTGGAATTGCAAAGCCACGCACACGCGCCGGTTTGATGTTCAAGATGCTAGTAGTCGTTATGAGCAAAACTGTTGAGAGATGTTGAGAGCGAAACCTGTGCAAACCCAATAGCTTGGAGCCGGATTAGGACACCCTTGTGGATGCGGTTGAGAACGCAGAGGCCTGCGGTTCGATTCTGGACCTTTGCAACGGTACGGCCCAGTGGGGCAGCGACAACTCTTTGTCCCACCCCCACCAGAAACTCTTTTTGAGAGCTGAGAGTCCAAGTCATGCATTTCGACCGAAACCCTCCCAGAACCAGTTTGTTCTTCTTTCGCGACTTGGCATGGTTTTCATATCTCATCTCCAGCATCCTTGCTTTCCCCACACATCTCCACTTTTCACGCCCCTAAGCTACTGGTAGCAAATGCCAAGACCGCTATTGGGCAGGAACACGAGGAGGCTATTTGTAAATGGGCATATTTAAACGTGTTCATGTGTGTGTGTAACCCTTGGAATCATAGGGAACCTTAAGGTTTGGAACAGGGGG